CACTACACTCGTAAGCGTAGTGTCCTGTCTTTTGCATCTGTTGCATTTCTGCAACTTCTTGTAGTCTGTAGAGCGAGCCTTTTCACTCTCTACATAACAGAGTTACATCGGCTCCGGACCTCCTCTGTCATATCGTCTCGGTGTACGAAATGATGTCGAGCTGGCGCGAGCCTGTCTCAGACTGAAGTCTTCCTGTTCCGCAATGGAAATGACTTGTTCTAGTGAATCTAGTTCAAGTCGGAACAGGTGAGTCTTGACAGGACCATCCACAAGACCCTGCATGAGCACCGAAACCAAAGTGTGTTCATCCACCGGGTTGGAACTTATACAGCTCGTGAGATGTCGTATATGTTGCGCGTAAGCGTGCACATCACGTTTACCCTGTTTGAGCTTCAAGAGCTCGGTTCGAGCTCTGAACTCATCTCTAGGCGGTTCAAACGTTTGTCTGAGCCGCGACTTGAAGACTTCTAACGACCCAAACGCATATGGGTCGTGCAACTTGAGTCCCAAATCCCAAGTCTTGGCACGTCCTGCCAGATTTGACTGGGCAAATGCAATTTGCATATCCCCGTCGTCGATGCGACGCGCCCTTATGGCGTCGTCTAATTCAACGAACCATCTCAAGAGGGCGTCCTCTTCGACTCCCCTATACTTGGAGATGTCAATCTTCAAGGCCTCGGGTCGACGCGAGTGCATCGACCCACCAGCAGTAGCCTGCTGCTGTCTCAACAGTTCAAACTGTTGAGTACCCTGTTTTCTCATCAACTCTGATTGTTGAGAACCTTGTTGGTGAAGCAAGGCTACTTTCTCGCGTTCAGCGTCAAGTTCCTTTTGAATGAACTTGGCGATAGTAGCATGTTGGGCATCTCTATTGAGAGCCTCTAGCATGACGCTAACAGCATGGATGCCCATGGTTGAACCCATCCGATCAGCCGCATCCCATTCGACATTGCTCAAATGGGAGTAGCCGTCACGCGTAGCGTGAAAGCTTTGGTCATCTTCATCATCCAACATATTCATGTTAGATGTGAACGTGGTCCTTGGACGGACTACGAAGTGCTACCAGTTGTAACGGGGCACCCTCAAGCTTTTACTGATGACAGTACAAGCTACTTATTCTGACGACAGAATAAGGCGGTGCCTCGGAAATTCACGTACACTGGTACGTGCAGAGGAAGACGGTAAGAAGAAGCGAGTACTTGGTTAAAGTAAAAAGTAGAACTGTATTTATCATAGTTAATGTCTGTTAATAAATCACTGTTTATCCTCATCTAACTTTGTCTAAATACAAATGTGTAAATCAACTCCCCGCTCACCACTCATTGCGTGCGTCTGTCGTGGCGCGTCTTCGTTGGTTGATATAATGGCCTATATCAACCAATTAGGAACTACTCGTAAGTGCTGCAGAATATTTGTCCTTATGACAATATTCTGAGGATGTAACTCTTATTGCTATATTCTATGAACAATTTCTTAAAAAATGTCATGTAACGATTTACCCGTTCTAAATGCTAAGCATGCAACGACACCTGCAGCCGTAGTCGAACGCTGAAAAGGTGTTGTCGCGGATGCTTTGGGCATAGTGGCGTATACTCTTGACAGAGGTTCCTGAGGGTACATCTGAAGCGTAATCGCCTGTACGAGATGCGTTCAAGTTCTCCGTAGATTTAACTACGAGTGCGAACCCCGAGGCGCATAATTCCGGACCCATGTGACATGCAGCCGATTGAATGATTTTTTGTAGCGACGCGTTATGCGAAAAGAGCTTGACTTGACCGGGGGCCTCGAGGACCTTGTCGGAGTAGGCACGAGCAAGGAGATTGAACGTCCTCGAATCTGTATTGCCTAGCCAGTCAACAGGTCCCAGAGCCGCACAATAGGACACGGATCGAGCGAGATTCTGGTTTTTCAGCAAACGCAACGACTGCCTGAGTTGACCCCTGCGAGTACCCTACAAGAGCCAGTGTCTCCCGTCCCGACGTCTCCAGAGCATAGTTGAGCGTTGCTGGCACGTCAAACTGCCCATGTCTTCCCACGAAAGGCCCAGAACGCAGTGTCTTTGGTCGTGTACTTAACGTGGCTGGACGAGTACGTATTGCCGCGATTATTCCCAAGCCAGACATCGTAGCCAGCATCAGCAAGCACATAGGCGAGACTGTGGTTCCGGGAGTCGCACACCCATGCGAAACTACTGGCCACCATTTCATGCTGGACGAAAACAGCTGGTTTGTTTCGGTCTGCCTTGTCGTTGTCGGTGGCATCTGCTTGGCTTTCTCTGTACGACGTTGGTAAGCGATGCATGGAGAGGATGTATCCATCTATTGTCGTGACATTGTGCGTCTCCACTACGTAGCCACGCGCTTGAACAAGCTCAACAGTGGACTTCCCAGCATTTGGATCGAGGTCTAGCTCAGCTGCCGTGACTTTGTCGAAGTGCAAGAGCGAGTGAGTTAACGCAAGCAGCGCGAGTTCCAAGCACAGGACCACGAGGGCTTTGTCTCGAGATGAAAAACCTTCCGCAGTTTTGACAGGATGACGTTTACGATAATGAATGTGCGGCACCAAGTCACGCGAAACCGAAGAATACACAGCACAGATTCGTGCACTTTCGTTCGCCTTCTGTCTTGTGGTCTTCTTTGGCGTCTCCTTTGTCATTTGCACCTCACCAACTGTCGTCTCCTTTACTGCCACCGACTTTCCATCATTTGACTGCTACAAGAGCTCGATGATCCATTCAATTGGGCGAGCAGCACCTCTGCTCAACGTCCGCTTTGTAACCGTCATCGTAATCATCATTTTGATTACTCGTGTCGTTTCGTTCACTGCCATAATCAGCCCAAGGGCTCGTCTGCTGCTGCGCGCGACTTGAGACCGTGTTTTCTGTCGAAAATGCCACATGTGTGCACATTTTAATCAAAAATAGAATCCGAGGTGATAGGACGTCAAAGATAGTGACTGAATACAGAGATTTTGACTGAATGCATAGAGTGCTGACTGAATGTAGAGAGTGATGACATAATGCAGAGAGTGCTGACTGGAGATGACGTTGTGCAGGTGTTTAATATACTTATTTTGACTACTAATTTATAGGTCAGGTAGGTAAAGATGACGTGAGCCATGTAGTCGGTCTTGGGACGAGGTACATGAGATGACCAGACATCAGTATAGAAGAACAAGTAAGAGACTGCAGGAAGTTTAGTCGCTTGATGGGTTGAACAAGCATGGAGAGTATGCCTGATTGGTGAGAGAAATGCGCACTTACTCCCACGTCGCAGACTTGGGTCGGTGCATCTCACGGTTCGGAGCAAAGGCATGAGCGAGGACGACTTCATTCTGAAAACACCGACTTCAGCAACACTCGAGTCTTCAACACAATCGCATTGACAACTTCACCAGCTTGAACAATCATGGTGAGTGCATGATTCATTTCTCGATCTATCATTTGAATTGTTGCTGACGTTTCTCTTCTGTGTGCATGTGTTTACTAGTGGATTACTATCGAGATCCAGAGCTTATGCAACCTCGTTGAAGAGAGTATCCGTTATGTACTGAGTGTGCTGTCGGAGATTGCTTCCAAAGCATGCGGCATCTACGAGAAGAGCGTTAGTCCCACTGACTGGGACTTCAACCAGCTCACCAAGCTGCGCTCAAGTGATGAGAAGCACTGCACCATTGGGTATAGCCACGCACTGCGCCCGCTAAAGGAAGCAAGCAGGCACAACGAGTGCCGTGCTACCCAAGCAGGTACTGCAGATGCCCATCCAGCTAACATGTTCAAGTTGAAGCCTATTTGCAACAAGATTAATACCAACGAGTTCACACAGCTCGTTGCTACTCGCGATCCTGATGAAGATGGTGAAGATAGGACATGGTACAGCCGGACACTGCTCCATTTAAAGAACAAGCGCCAACGCCAGTTGAGCCACTACGATCGAGCTGATTCGTTTTGTTCGACCAACTCAAGTGTTGACTAGTTTGCACTTACAATGTCTCAGACCGTAGTCTAGCGATAAACGTTTTTAATATATCTATCTGGTAAACATGGTTCGCGACTTTAGTAATGTTAACAATAAAAGCGTAATCAAGAAACATGCGCAGTCACAGCAACAATACTCTGTACTGATGCGACAGCCTTCTGTAAACGCGCATCTATTATCTTATTCTGTTCAACTCGTCTAATTCGCTTCTACAGCTGCGAGTCGAGCCGGATGTAGCAACACAGCTGACAGTTTTCTTGGAGCCACGTTCATGCCAGTAAGATTCATCTTCATCCGCACGTTCGTGATAGCCAATGCTTCAGATGAAAAACTAAGTCACGCTCAGCGGGGTGTGAACAAGTGTGGTCACGAATGGAAACGTCAAGTCACATTGAAGCTTATAGTGGTCTGGCGCGTGAGAGTAGCATTGAGCAAAGGGGAAGGACTAGTGAGCAGACTCGAGCAGGGGATGTGGTAGTATTGGCTTCAATGTAGCATGAAGGCACCCGAGGTGTAAAAGCGAATTCATTGCATGCTAAAAGCATTGACGCAGCAACGACTTGTACATTGGTTCATGCATAATTCGTGTAGCAATGGCTGGTACATTTTTCAATATTGACACAGTACGCGCTCTCGAATCTGATCGGTTGTTGAAGTACATCTTACCCGTAGTTTCCAACGCCGATTGAACACAAGCAAATCCACATGTCACGCGTACCACTACTAAGTAAATCAAGCGTGGTACCGAGATCAACCAGCAAGACGTACAGCCCTTCTGGAGAGAGAGATTTATGCCGCGCGGTCCTTCAGTTCACCCTGGGGTGAACTGCGAGTACTTTTTGCTCTTTTTGAACTCCTTAAAGGACCCCCCCCCCCTCATTACACTATGGGGCTTTTCGGCTCGTAGGGCCCCGGACGTCACCGGCCACCCGCTTCGGTACATTATTAGCCTATCTCCGGCGCCCTGTAATCGAACCCCCAGCGGGTATCGATCCAGTACGTCCCGGTCCCAGTTCTAGTGGTCTACCACTCGGCCACTGGGGTCGGTGTACAGCCCTCGTCTGGAATCGCCAGCTCGTTTGCACTCAGCTCACGCAAGAGCGAGAAACACATGTCGACACCGCACGACCCGTACAGTGCGTTAAGGACGTAGTCAAAGAACATCCTGTCGGTAGCAACACACCTTGACTAGCCACGTCTCGTAAAACGTCTCCCACAGCCTTCAAGTCACCGCGAGATGCATGAATGAACGCCAAAGTCGTGAATGCCTTCAGTAACTTGGGTCTTGCTGTACCGGTACTTCGAACACAATCAAGGGAGGTAATTACGCTGCAAGAAGGTTATCCGCGTTTCACCAGTGCTGCACAAGAACACTGTGCGTACGGTGCTGTTCATTTGCTGTGTCAGACGACCCGATACTTGACTCATCGTGTTCCCGTTTCAATGAAAGTAGTGCAGTCTCTCCTGGTCCAATATGCCACAACAAGCGTGTTCAAAAAGGGCCGCAGAAATAACTTGAAGGCTCTGGAAGAACTGCTTTCTTCGACGCTGTCCCAAAGAACTCCGTAATGCTGTGATTAGATTTTCATGGAACGGAGTAATCTCGGCTGCTTGTCAATGGATTTGAATACTGATCAGCCACCTTCTTTACTTGACAATGACAAGACAGGCCGGCGCTGCTGAATCGCGCAAAGTATCGACAGGCCTTCATCGAGCGCCACGAGATTTGGTAACGGGAGATTTGCTGTCACGGAGACGTTGACAAGCACAAAATTTGGGGACCAGTACCTGACGTTGAGTCAAAGGGTCTGAAAGTGCACTCGTACTCTCGGTAGCAGTCGCTGTCTGTAATTTGTGGTGCGCCCGAAAGCTAATCGAAGAACTCGAAATGGATCGAACAATTGGGAGATCTTGCCAGTGACTCCGAAACCTCAGGTGATGATCGCGGTTCAAGACCGTTGCTACCAAGGTCGATTTAGTACTCGGTGTAAGATACACATGCTCCTTTGTTGCTTACTAGCCACGAAATGCCTCGTGCAAGCCCGATTGGTCTGGTCGGTCACGCCGACTACTTTCCTGGCCATTCCGTTTATCACATAGCTGCAACACAGACGATACGCGCTTCACCAACCAAGCAGTTGATCCTGATGTTGTTCGGCTCCTATGTTACTCATCGGACATCAATCGACGTCTCTGAACTGCGCCATCAAGGCCCGTGATTCCCATAGAGTCAACAGCCTCATCTTGACGTCTAGATCTTCGTCGTCGCTTACACGTTAATATGGTCCCCTTTGTCATAGCTGTGAATTGTTGGCCATCGATCTGTCAAGGCTTTACAAAGCAAGCCTATCTCGAGACGGCACAGCATTCTCGGCAGAATGATGCAGCGAGTGTACCGGTTAAATCAACAAAGGTGCATGCCCAGCAGCGACCCATCCACATTATTCTTCTGTCAATATACGTGCTATCCAATGAAAACACAGCGGACCGACAGGAACATTTGATCAGATCATGCTTCGCTGCCAAGACAAGAACAGACGTGCCTCATTTAGATCTTCGATGTGGTCCGCACGCAGCACACGTTCATTTCATGCCACAACATTTTAATCGGAAACGCTGATGCCTTCCGGGACATCATCACTAAATTCGACTCTTTACATTTACGTGCCACCTTTAAAAAAAAACAATCCATCAAGGAAACGAATGACGCTCCAATGCCAAATACGCACGAGGCAAGCGATATATTTGTCTCGACCGTGCAAGCAAGATCGACGCAAATGTAGCAGTCCCGCGAACGAGTAACCATCTTGGGCCGCGACTTCTGGCTGAGCGCTGCTGAGCTGGACCTGACATTGCTGCAGCATTGGAGTCCTACAACATCACCGCAACGTCGGTATTCTGGCAGCGGATGGCAGCACCGACTTATTACAGTATCACTTTGCAGCAAGAACCCGATGCTGCTGCTTTATTTCTTCTTCTCCAACCCAACATTTAGAACTTCTTGTACTCGTGTAGACTCCGGATTATGGAGGCACTAAGACTTAAAGCTCGTAAAAGTATCGGCATAGTTTACTCGCCCTTGCTAGACCACAGAGATTACATAAGGAAAGCGTAACATTACACGAAACACGTCGTCGAATTTGTCTTCGCTTTTCAACTGCTCAAACGTGCAGGTCAAGGTAAAGAAGACCCGAGGCGATATAAAATCCACTTAAAATGTGCGCAACCTAGTCGGTGCGAAGACCAGTAGATGCTTTTGGCTTGGTAAGGTACAGTCAGCTTACAAAAAGCGAGGTAGGTGGGGTCCACCAAGTGAGAGAAATAGCGATAACGAGATAATTACTCCGAATAGATCCAAACATACTTTCCAGCGTCATGCCGCGCCATTCGCATCTATCAAACGTCCAACTTTCGCATTTCTTGTAACGGGGTCACACTAGCCTTTGGCTAAATTGGTCAAAGGCCTCCCATAAATAAAATGGATGAACGTGTGTGACCTTAGATTTTATATCAGCAAGAGATTATCGATTGATCGATGTTCCCAGGTTTACGGTACTAACCGTGTACGTACTTTGTACCGTCATCATTTGATGACTGAGTGATGTGGCAACCACCCATTTAGTTCGAATACTGGTGTTTGCATCAGTTCTACTTTAGTATAATACAGGGTACATAAAGTAGGATTTTCCTCGACATAAAATCTAAATAAAGTTCAGTTCTCGTTTTGAGCAGAAGTCCGTAGACTCCCCCTCCCTTTCGCACCTTGCGTTTGACAGTTCCTTAGAACTGTCGTGGGTTAGAAAGTCTTTAGACTCCGGTATTCTCCTTTCGCACAATGTGCGCGTAGTTTTTTAGAGCTACAGTTACTGAGCTGTTAGCTCGTAGAGTCCACCCGAGTTCCGTACACCTGGGTGACTCTTAAACTTGATATATTAGTTCCGTAGAATTTAGAGGCCGTCAGCCGTAAACCGTTGGCTTGTTAAGTAAGTCTTCATCTGACTTAAAGAGCTGTGTAGCTCCGCTAGACTTGGTAGCACTTGCAGTCAATCCTACACAAGAGTCATTTCGACTGACCCTATGTGAGAGATGGAAGGCCTTGACGGCCTCTCGGAGGCTCAACGTTTCGCACTTGATAAGCTTAGATCGTTGATAGGGGTCGAGCAGGTCGACCACATCGTGGCTTTAGGCCCAGAAGTGCTTAATGCACGTCTTGAGGCATTTATGCAGTTTGAGGCCACGCTGATAGGGCAGGACCACGACCATTTAACCTGAACCGTACCTAAACGGAACTTTTAGTACCTGGTAGTGAGTCAAAGACTCTTCCGCTCACTCTTAGCGTTAAGACTTTCGAGGGGAAAGAGAGAAAAAAAACTCCTTCTCTGGATCCGAGTAATCGATTCGGCTATTGAAGCCGCGTTGCTTTAATCGGAGCGACAGAAAGTTGGCCTAGCCATTTCTAAGCTCGGTGGTTGAGCCAAAAAATGGGCTCTTACCTGTGATACGTCGGTTAGCGCTGCGTTTCCCACATGGGATTCGCTTTAACGAGAGATGTCTCGGGTCTTAGCGCCACCAAATCAAGCGTATCGTGTTTGCTCTCGATTCAAAGCCGCTAGGCAGGGAACGAGAGTATTATCGGACTTTGTCCAAGAGTTGCAAATTCCCATAACTGCTATGAAGCTGGACCCTATTCCAGAGCAAGTCCGTGTCACCATTTTTATGAAGGGCCTTCGTACGGAAATCGCGAGGACGTAAGTCCTCCGTGTCTACCTATCAACGTTTGAGGAGGCTGTAGACATAGCGTTGAATGCTGAGTTTAACTTTAAAGCTGCTTGCTATGGCACTCATGGGCATGCCCAAACATCATTTGACGGGGCTGAGCCCATGGACCACAGTCATGCTGAAGAATTAATGAGAGATCTTCTGGCTGTTGAACAGCAACGTAACATCTGTAGATGTTACATGTGCTGGAGCACCAAACACTTGCGCCCTCAGTGCCTACTGCGGAATCCGCGTCAAAGTCGGCCGAGTCGCAACCCGCCTCCTAACCCGAAAATGGGCCGGAGCGGGAAGACGGCAACTCCCAGTAGGCGCGGGGCGCCCTACTGGGGAGAAACTAAGTTCTGCCGAATTTTAGGTGGTAAAGGTAAACAGGGCTTAGCTCCAGACGGTCATGTGGAAGTTTTCACGAGACGTGAGTACAAGCCAGGCTTGTTAGTGGCCTCGGCTACGATTAAGGGCTTCGAAGAGACGTGGTCAGCATTAATCGACTTTGGAGCGTCAGGCAACTACGCTCGACGCCGGTCCCTAGAGGCATGTCAGCAAAATGCTGAGGCGCTGAAAGCGCATGAGGATAATGTTACCGCGTTTCGCTTAGCGACAGGTACTCGTGTCACCGTCCTAAAGTTCCGTTGAACTTAGGTGTGAAACTTTTAGATTTCGATAGTATCGAACGTTTTCTTGTCCTGAGTTGGGACTCGAGATATGATCTCATCCTTTGCATGGCTTAGCTTGAACGCCATGAGCTATGGGTTGATTGGAGGTTGAAGACCTTAGGCGCAACGTGCAACGTTCCTAGTGAAGCTTTGGAGAGTCATGAAACCACCTTAGCTAGGCAACAAAAGCGCTATTGGCGCGCGCCACTGACGGAGTCTGGCAGTGTGTTTGACATTGGAGTGTCTGAGATATTTAACTCTGATGTCATTGACAATAGTGAAACGGCACGTATTCTGTTGAGTGACGCTAGCAATGACATCGAATCACTGAATGCTGAAAGCATTGATGGCTTAAGGTCGATTCATCCTCAATGTGATCCCTGTGATGCGCGTGGACCGGCACGTAAACATCCACAGAGTGAGGTCGGCCGTGATGGCACCCCACTAAATGTCGGTAATGACATTGTAGGCGATCGCCAAGGCATCAAAAGCTATATTCAACAGATGCGAGTGTAGTGGTACGTATACATCCACAGAGTGAGGTAGGCCGTGAGGGCACCACACTTAATGTCGGTAACGACATCGGCTCTCAGAGAGAGCAGGTCGAGATCGAAGATGATCTTCACCTCGTGGAACCGGATGTTCCTATTACGTTGAAGTGTTCAGTCACTGTACATAGATGACAGCGACGCCAGATGGAGGCTGTGAAAAGAAAGGCTTCTGCCACAACCC